TCTTAGGCGGTGGGCTTTGCTTGGGTAGGGATAGAATATAAGCCTCCCACCCAAGGAGATTCCCGTCCAGTTAAGGGCAATTCTCTGAAGAAGGTGAGGGTGTGAGCAGCTGCAGGATGGGGACAATGGCCTGAAAGAGGGGATGGTGAGCAGGGGGCACCGGATTAGCTGGTGACTCTTCTGTCTTACATAATGCCCCAAACCTACAATTTCCAAAAAAGTCATTTAAGAGAAGACACCCATTCTGATATCCAATGTGAGTGTAGTTGAGTCTACAAATGGAGTTGGCTTTAGTAACTAGACCGAAGAGCCAACATGAGGAAAATTTCAAAGATGCTATAAATACATTATTGAGCTGCTTACAGGTGTAGGGCTAAAGCCCTGGTTAATCTTTATAAAATTAGAACAGCTCTTGAAGTTTTCAGCACTGCTTAACAACTTATTCTTAAGAAGTGAATAGGAGGTGAAAGTGAAAGTTAAAAGAAAAWTTTTTTTATCCTTTTTGCCTTCTAATTCTAAAAAAAAAAAAAAACCCTGCCCAAATAATTTGTGGTGGTGAAAAAGAGAAAACAGGTTCAAAACTGATCAGTTCTCTAAGAACAGTAGCTAGTGCTAACCTCATGACAGAAATTGCCTTAAGTCTAGGTAAATTAAGAGAAAATTTGTACACATGGGAGATTTTGTGTAAAACTGTTCAAAACATTTTTGAACTGTGCATATTCATTGGCTTGAGAATAATAGGAAATATATTCAGAAGAAAAATCAGTGAACAAGTTGTTTCACCAAGACCAGGCTGTTTCAGCAGAGTAGAAATAAAGATGGAAGAATTGGGGAATTATTCCTCCTACAAATATCTATCTGGCGAGACCAAGGAATGATCAACATCAAGGTCACCTGCAATAACACTGTAAATACTTTAGGACACCTCATACATAGTGAATGTTAAGGTGGTTTTTATTTTTATGTTAAGCCCAATTTATATATCTAGTTTGAATACTCTAGACCCAAAGACAATCGCAGCAGGACCAAAGGAATTTGCAGTATGTGGTTCACTAAGGACAACCAAATACCCTAACCTAGCTCAACTTCCTGACCAGATTAACTGAAGCCCTCACACATCTGGACTAGATAAAAAGTATCATTTCCAGGAGTAAATACTATCTACCGCAGACACTGACTGTTCCACCTACAACATCTGAGATTTAATTTTCAAAATATCATGAATGAAGAGGAGGAGGAAGAAGAAGAAGAAGAAGGTGGAGGAGGAGGAGGAGGAGGGGGAGGAGGAGAAGGAGGAGGGAAGGAGGAGGGAAGATGAGGAGGGCAGTGGGATGGGGAGGGGGAGGGGAGGGAGAAGGTGAGCAGGAGAGAAGGGAGAAGAAAGAAGACGAAGAGGAGGAGGAGGAAGAAGAATGAGAGGAAGAATGAGCAGTGGTGGGGGAGGAGGAAGAGGATGAAGGAGGAGGGGGAGGGGAAGGAGGAGGAAACAAAATCCATTTTCAAGAAAAGAGGAGCAATAAACCAAATGCAGCACTGATCCAGATATTTAAACTCTTAGTGACTTTTAAACAACTTTGATTAAGAGCCTGCAGATTGCCTGGCCATTAAACAAGGATACTTGTTGAAAATTATAATTTAAGGAAAAAAACACATTTATAGTCTTGAAATTATGCTAACTGCAAGCAGCAATTGGAAAAAGCATTTATGTAAGAAAATCTATTGGCATCAGATCAATATTGGCATTACAGCCGTCATTTTGGGTTGGGAGCCATTTTATCTAAGACTCGGAGGTTTTGGCTTAGGAGCCATTTTTTCTAGAGATCCTGAGGCAATGCTGCTTGGCCTCCCTTAAGAACGTGTGCCTGCTAAAGGGTGGAACCCACCCCAGGCCATGACATAACCCCTAACGCCTGCTTGTGAACTTCCTCTTGCAGGCTCTAAAGCTGCTCTGTCGGTGCGACACACTGCTGCTCTCCTTTGAGGGACAGCCTCGTCAGTTTGCTCCATGCTCTGACAATAAATCTCTCAAGTGGGATTCCGGTGTGTGGTGTGGTCCTTGGACTTGGTGTGGACTTTGCGAGTGTCCTTTCAAAATGTACTAAAGCTGGGTAAGAACGTGGGAGTCTGGTGTGAGGGCCACGACCCCTCTCTCTTCCTGCCTCCTCACAGCTCAGCGTGATGGAAATGCTCGCAGGCAGGTGCTGCTAGGACTCTGACTTCTCCCCGCAGCCCTCGCTGAGAGCTGTGGTATCTTCCCAGAGCAGCAGATGGCCAGCCTCTCTCATCCCTCTCTTCCCCCACGTGTTGCCGAAGCTGATTCCAGGAGGCCACAGGCCCTCCTTTGTTCACTCTTCATTCAGAAGCGGCACAGTGGGAAGGTAGGCCCCAGTCCTGCTCACCCACAGGGTGCAGGTTCCGCCTCCAATGCTACAGTCAGAAGCTCAAAAGCCACCCCCTGCCTAACACCCTGCAACTAAGGTGAACTGTTACTAAGGGAGGGTGGCACAACTGTCCCCACCTCCAGTGCCAGAGATAGGACTCCACTGTTTTTTTTCCAGTGGGAGGGTCCAATCATTAAAGAAAAAGTTATGAGGAAACTGACTTTACTTGAAACAGAGTGTAGGGAAGTTCCAGTCTGAAGATAGGTAGGTAACAAAACTGTTTTGAAATAAAGAGATGACCCCAAGGGTAACTTGAATCTGGGGAACAAATGAAAAGAACCAGAAAATGTAAATAAGGTTAAAATAACAAATGTTAGAAACARACACCTGCTCTTTTTTTCTTCTCCCAAATTCTTTAAAAATCACAAATAATAATTTTAAGAATGTATTTTTGAGATTGTAACTAAATGAATAAAACATATGCCCCAATGATAACCCAAGAGAGAGGCAGGGGGAATCCAGGCAYGCAGGAGCACTGTTTCTTCTCCCTGGTGTTGTTAAGTATGAATACTAAGTGAATTCTGATCAGGTAAGCCCTAGGGCACCCACTAAGAATACAGTGAATGATCAATAAACGATTCAAACTCCTAAAATACTTAACAAAAAGCATTATAAGGACAAAGGTGTTAAATGATGTCATGGAAAGGTGGACCATATGCACAAAGAGAGAGAGATTTCAGAAGAGGGATAAAAACTGTCAGAAACTGAGTCCAAAGAAAAAGTAATAAACACGGCCTGAGGCCGAGGACTTCCTTTTGTGGGCTCATTAGCACCCACCACCAGTATGTAGACCAGAGGATACACACTATTGCTGCTTATTAGGATTTCTTATTACTGAGACCCTTCATTTTTATCCCCATCAGAAATGGACAAAAACTCTTATTCTCCAGCATCCATGTTAACAATTAGTACTCCAGAGTTATAGACAGGGCTGCAATAGAATTGATGGCTAAGTCAATGTGGGCAAGTTACTTCACCTCTTTGAGCCTCTATTTTCTCATCTATTAGAGGCTTCTTCTCTGGATTAATAAATTAGAAAAAAAAAGGTGTTTCTTCTGATGAGAACATATCTTCCTAAACTGGCCTGGAAACCAGAAGTCCTTTCTCCAACCAGTGCAGCCTCCCTGGGCTCATGGGTCAGCTCCCAAAGCACAGGTTGGCGGGATTTAAGGATGCACTCACCACCTTGTCTGTTGTGTTTCTGCAGTGCAAATGACCTGGTAATATCTGATGGTTTGGTCACCCTCACTAGACAAGATGAGACAGCTCCCACAGTACTCTTTGGAACTGTAATAGCCCTTCACTCACTACTGGGCAGCTCAATTTCTTCCGCCACTTAGGACTGGCAGAATCTATTGATTGCATACATTCTGGTAAACTCCTTCCTTGTAACTCTTTTTCCAACATTATACAAAATTTCCACGTGTGCATTGCCAAAAGTCAAGTCCTTGAATTGCTAGGAATTTGGGAATCAAAAAAGTGACCTCATGGGCTGGGGATGTGGCTCAAGCAGTAGCGTGCTCGCCTGGCATGTGCGGGGTGCTGGGTTCCATCCTCAGCACCACATAAAAAAATAAAATAAAGATGTTGTCCACCAAAAACTAAAAAATAAATATTAAAAAAACCTTTCTCTCTCTCTCTTTAAAAAAAAAGTAACCTCACATTTAAAAAAAAAATGTGCCAAAGATAACATGTATGGCACTCTACTGAAACTGCTGGACTTGGGAGAGACAAAAACAAGAACATTATGAAGTTTGCAGGCTGGGTATAGAAGAAGTCTCAATAGACATGGATGATTTATGCATCTGTAAAACACAAGATGCTCTTTCTAAAATTAGTCATTTAATTCTTATTTGCCCTTGTTTCTTTGCCTGCCACAAAGAGAAATATATGCAGACTCTGAAGTTTAGAAAAAGGAATGTTTCCCCTGCACCTATCGCCAAATACTTTCTTCTTCTGAACATGAGCAAGAGTTGCCAAATGGAGAATATTCCACACCCCATCTCCATTCCAGAGTGGTTCTATGCTAAGATGTAAACGATGCTACTTTGTAGTAGCAATAGCATCAAGCCATAACCACACAAAGAAAGCCTAGGGATATTTCAAATGTATATGGTCATATCATATGCATATCATTAAAACATCACACAAAGGTACAGGGAAACAATTTGCAATGGTTATGAGGACCAAAGTGAGCATCTCTCCTCTGCAATCTGGTGATGGCACCACTCACACATACCTCTCTCCCACTTCCTCTCTTCCCCCAGGAAATACATTTTAACAAAGTGATTATAAGTTGCTGATTTCCTTTCTCTAGTTCCTCCCATATCCCAGGAACATGCTTTTTTGAATTCAACAGTAGACATGGGCAGATATCAAGATTATGAGATTTTAATGGGCAGAGACTAGAATTTGTATTTGTATACTTATTAACTATCTTGGCACAAGAATTATGCCAAGAAATTGTACACACAATGTGGCAGAGAGGAGTTAGGATTTCTTAGGATACTAAATAATCCACACAGAGCAGGTACCACCTACCACTGACTTGGAGAAGGGCTAATCTTTGAGGAGATGACAGCAGCGTTTCACTCCATCCCCAAGAGCCTCTTTGACTTTGTCATTGCGGAGAGTGAAGATGAAAGGGTTCAGGAAAGGGGTCACCACWRACACCAGCAGTGATGCTACCCTGTTGTACTCAGCCGCCTGCGTTTGCTTGGGTTTCACATAGAGGAACAAGCAGCTGCCATAGCCAATCACGACGAAAGTGAAGTGGGAGGCACAGGTGGAGAAGGCTTTCCTCCGGCCTGAGGCCGAGGGGATCTTGAGGATGGTGGAGATGATGTAGCTGTAGGAGACAATTGTAGGGGTCAAAGAACCAATGATGATGAAAACAGCCATCAGAAAAAGAATAAACTCCGTGAAAAGAGTATCATCACAGGACARTTTGAGCAATTGTCCTCTGTCACAGTAAAAATGATCTAGGAGATTTGATTTGCAGAAACTAAACTGGAATGTGGCATAAACTGGCCAGATTTCAGAAAGGAACCCAAAGAGCCAAGACACAATTACCACAGAGTTGCAGGTGCGGCTGGTCATGATGATGTTGTACCTCAAAGGGTCACACACAGCCACGTAACGGTCCACAGCCATCSCTCCAAGCAGTGTGAACTCTGTGGTCCCCACGGCAAGGTACAGGAAGAGTTGGACAACACATCCAGTCAGAGATATTGTCTGYGTCCCAGGGAGCAGCAATCCCCAAAGCATCACAGGAACAATTATGGTTGTGATCAGGATCTCCAGGACAGAGAGGTGAGCGAGGAAGAAATACATGGGGGACTGGAGACGTCTGTCAACACACMCAATGGTGATGATGACCATGTTTCCCATTAGTGTCACCAAGTAGAAGAAAAAGAAGAGAGCAAAAAGAGTGCTGCGCTGATCTTGGGACCCAGGAAAGCCTCGGAGGCAGAATTCGGTGGCGCTGGAGTGGTTGTCCAYCACTGGGTTCTCGCTTCTGCTTCTTGAGAAACCTGGAGAGCAAAATAAAGAGAGGCATTGCTCCCCGTGGTCCTGCTCTCAAGAGAGAAGGAAGATCAGGATGAGAAACTATTTCCCACCTGAGGACCAGGAGACATGCYCACCACTGTTCTCTGCACCCAGCCAGAGCTCACTATGGAAGCATCGAGTCTGTGAGTGAGACTCCCTTTTTACAGTGCTCACTCTCTTGAATGGTGGAGRTGCCTACTGGGGTGAAGAAAACCTCCCTTATTCTTCTCTGCAATAAATATGCCTGTTGTCGAGGTGAAGGAGCCTCAGATCTTTTAAATAGGCCACTGTGTTTTTAATTTTATATATTTAATTTTTAGTATTCTATAGTTATACATATAGTGGGGTTCAGTGTAAAATATTCATAAATGAATATAGTAAAATTGACTGTATTTGAATCCCCAGAAATTCCACATTTGCTCCCTTCTTTCCTYCCATGATCCCCTTTCTCTATCTATTGGTTTTCCTTTCTCTTAAGTTTTTCTAATAGGTGCATTATAGCTACCCGTTTTAAGGCTGCATTAATCAGGCCACTCTGGTTCTGGAATTGCCCAATYCCCTCCCAGTTAACTGCCCTAGAGGACACCCAGGCATTCCAGATGATGATCAGGAGTAGACTCTGAGCCCTGGCCCTGGACAGTAATGGCCACATGGAGACACACTGTGGGCCACTAGGACCCACTTCCTTACTGTTCCCAGACTTTAAAACCTTCACACCTCAGAGTGGCCCGATCTCCACCTGAGAACCCTGGGGTGTGGGATAATTGCTGAAAGTTGACCCAGCTTCTCTAACTCTGTTTTTCCTGGGAAGTCCTGGGAGGAAGAGTACCTGGATCAGAAAGGACAGCGCTGGACCAGAAGATGCTGGGATGCTGGGAACCTGCCTCTCACTTATCACCTCTTCAAGGACTTYTCCAGTCTCCCTACTCAAAACAGAAAAGCATGCTCGATATTTTTGGACTTTACTTTTTTCATAGAAATTTCTGATGCCTGRCTTTATATGTCTAATTGTTTATTCACTCTTCATTTAATTAAAAACAATGGAGTCATGAACAGAACAAAAGAAAAGGCCTGTCCTTTGGAATTTATTATAGTCAAGGAAGAGATAATGAACAAATGACACACAGAAGAAAYGGAAGCACAACACATACTAAACTAGTATATTGATCATGCTATATAGAAAAAAATGAAGCCAAGAAGGRTATAGGAAATTTTATTTTATGTATTTTTCATCTATTATGTTCAGTAATAAATTCTATGTGGGTAAGGACACCTTAAAAACCTATATTCTAGACTGACTGGGCTACTCATGCTCCAGGCACCCAGGTGACTCTGCAGCTGCCCGTGTTCCCGGAGATCTCGGGTGCCCAGAGGTTCCTCCAGAGGACGCCAGGTCACCAGAGAAGCCAAAAATGGGAGAACAGCAGCCRATTTGGATTCCAGAGAGATTAACTAAAGCGATTTCTACAGACCAAAARGAAGATAATTTGGCTCAAATCCATAACAGCTGATATCCAGAACTCTAGTTTGGCTACCCTTACAGAATCAGGATGCTTTTTTCAATATCTATTTTATTATTGCCCTTTCTCACATCATGAATTCTATTTTGTTTTTTGAGCTCATACAGACCTAGATTAATGT